TTCAAATTCTATTGATAGTTTTTAAGTTCAACTTGAACTTATTAATTTAAAAACAAATAATCATTTGAAAGATTTATATTAAGAAATCACAGATAAAAACAGATTTATTACATTTTTATAAGACCCTTACTGATGATTTTTCAAAAATATAAGAATTATCAATGTATATATTTAAATTATTTGTTTTTACTTATATTGGCGACTTTTACAATTTTTTTAAGATTATAAGGTAAACAATGTTGTCATTTTTTTAAAGTATCTTTTATTTGAGGCTGGTGTCAGTCGTTTAGTTGAAAAAGAAGAGCGGCTCCCTCCAGAACGTTGTTGCCCAGTGCCGGCGCTAGAATTTTCGAGGCCCTGGATGAAATACATTTCATGAGGGCGCGAGGCACTAGTGTATAGAAAATACTTAATAAATAATCTCAAATTTCTCATGATACTTGAAAATAAATTCTCCCTCCCATAAAAAAAAAAAAAACATGAATTTTTAGTTTATGTAATTTATAATAACGAATTTAATTTTTATGAAAAGTACTAATACTGGTATCATATAATTCTTTTCAAAATTCAATCATTTTACTTAAAGTTATATTATGTTATAATAATAAGTTTTATATTTTAATTAAATATAATATTACAATTATTATAACATATGATGTACATGTTTAATATTATTATTACTTAAATTTAATTTTTCTACTTTTTTTTTGCTGCGAAGTTTTCAAAGAATTTTAACTGAACCATAGTTGTGTTTATTAATTTTACTACATTATAATTTTGTAATTACCTGATATTTGTGACAGCAGATTACAGATCGCGCTGTAGAGAGAAAATCCGTAGAATCCGTATAAAATTGTCTGGTGGACGGTGTACGGTGCTGTGTTGCAGGTAATTCAGCAATAATTGAGTAATGAATATATTGTGAAAACAGTATTACTTATTCTTATAAACGTCAAACGGGTTTACGAGTAAAATGTTATAAATATAATTGAAAAATATCGGTGATTATCTTACACACAAAAATGATTACGAATACTTCGAAATGAGATTTCCGACAGTAATTTGCTATTTACTGTACTGTGTAGACAAAAATATACTTTATTTGTTTCTTACTAAGTTTTTATCTATACATTATTCTCGGTTATTCGACCGCATGCCACCCTATTAATAATGAAAATATATAAAAGAGTAATAATATTAATTTCCATAAAGCTATATAAATAGATAATAATAACAACAAGGCTGCGCTAATTGATATTTTATGAACCAAATGTGGTTTATAAATTTAATATTAGATACTTGGTACTTGCGCTATTTTAATATGAAACGAAAAATACAAAACGAATCAGAAGCCTAGCAGTATCATAAATAGGGTCCGGATTTTTATGCATTTAAATATTTGTAATAAGTGTATGCAGTTCGACGGGAGTAAAAAATGTGAACGATTTGTATAGCAGAGAACCTATAGAAAAAAGTTTATTTTGCATATAAATTCATATTTTATGGCTGAGAGCATATTTGAAGAATTTGACATAATAAAGCATATTTTGGTACATAATAGCAATTTTATTTATATTTCACTATAGAAACTAGATTTATAAGTTCATGGTATTGTGGGGAAATATTTTATTTCCTGTTTGTTATATTTTTGTTTAATTTGTATTAAAACTATATCTTGCTTATCAAAACAGAGTCATCGACAACAATGAAGACTAGTTATATTTAAATTTCCTTCAAACTATTATATTTTTAGCATGATTATTATTATTACTATCGTGATTTTTAGTCTTGTATTGGATAAACACGCTGCCTCGTGTTGTTGTACATTTAGTTGGTATTTAATCGCCATGCAGTAGTCGCCAGTTGGTAATCGCCTATAAATATAATTTCGTAATCCGCATTCCGTATACAAACGAATTTCTTTAATAATTTTTCGTACACTCATAAATTTTAAAATTCCGAAAAGTCGTAGTAATATTCAAACTTTAATAAATCAATGGATTGCATTGTATAATAAAACAGACCACACAATTTTTACTATGGACGGTTCTATAGTGTTTTGTCAATTGTGTGACAAAAAAATCGTTTGCACAAAAAAATTTCAAATACAACAACACGTTGATACCGCTTTGCATAAAAGTGCTTTAAACCGTAAAGCAAATGATAACAAAAAACAATTATTTGTATTGGACGCAAAACCTAAATCTGGTAACATTTTTAATGAGGATCTTTGTTCAGCTTTGATAGTCGCTAATATACCATGAAATAAACTTCAAATTCCAGAATTCAAGAATTTTTTGGAGAAGTACACAGGTAAGCATATTCCCGATGAAAGTACACTTAGAAAAAATTATCTTGGTCCATGTTACAATAATGTTATAATTGCAATCCGAGAAATTATTGGAAATTCAGATATTTGGATTTCTGTTGACGAAACAACTGATACAAACGGCCGCTATATGGCAAATTTATTAGTTGGCGTTTTAGAATGTGATACACCAAATCAACCCTATCTATTAGCATGTAAAGAACTATATTATTAACGATAGTTTGAAAATATTATGGCCCGCTGAAGGAAATGATGAAAACCTAAGATTGTTTTTATCAGATGCAGCGTTTATATATTATAATATCATATATGGTTAAAACTGGAGATGTATTAAAATTGTTTTACCCAAATATCATCCATGTAACATGCGTAGCACATATGTTAAACAGAGTAGCAGAAAAGGTTAGAGAGTTATTCCCCAATGTAAATAAATTAAATATCAATGTAAAGAAATCTTTTTTAAAGTCACCTTCTCGTATTCAACTATATAAAGAAATGCTACCTAGTTTACCATTGCCCCCAGAATCAGTTATTACAAGATGGAGGACATAGATTGAGGCAGTTATATTTAATACAAATAACTATGAAAGTATTAAAGGTATAATAGAAAAACTAGATAATGATTCTTCAGTAAGTGTAAATAATTGTAAAAAAAATGTTCAATTTGCATACAGTGAAAAATGATTTAACATTTATAAAAATTAACTTTTCTGGAATTATTCGGGCAATCACAAACTTAGAAGATACTAAATTAACTTTACTACAATCGTTAGAGATTACGAAAAATATAATTTCCGAACTATCAAATATACAAGGTGACAAAGGTTCTATTATAAAAAATTAAATATCTCAGTTGTATCAAAAAAATAAAGGATTTCAAGTACTAGAACAAATCGGACTAATTATATCAGGAAACAATGAAATACAGATCCCAGAAAATTTCAATCCTTACTCTGTGGCCAATATGAAATATGCACCGTAGACGTCAGTAAATGTGGAAAATTCCTTCAGTCTATATAAACATATATTAAGTGATAGAAGAATAAATATGACACCTGAAAATATGGAAGAATAATATATTACTGTTAACTCTTTTTATAAAAAGTAAATATCGATTCATATCTATTAATCAAAATAATTTTATTTGTTTAAATTGTTTTTTTTTATAAATCGTCTTCATTGTATATATTTTTTTTCATAAATATTTACCAAAGATATATATATATATTTTATGGTGTAAAAGAATTAAATACATTTTTTATTATTATTATTTTTAACTAAAAAGCACTTTATTAATTTAATGTAATTTTTTAACATTTTTTGTTCTATAATTAATGTTGTAAGTTGATGTCGTAGTGTCGGTAATAAAAAAATTAAGTTTGTTTAATTAAGTTGTATTAATATATAAGGGAAAATTAAAAAAATATATAAATACATATATTTTGGATAAGAGCATATTTTTGCATATTTTAAAAAAAATAAGAACATATCAAGTGCATATTTAAAGGTTTTTTTGATGCATAAATGCATACTATTTTAAGATTTTTGAGTACATACAAATCCAGACCCCAATCATTAATATACTTATTTCTGTACTGAAATATTATTATGAATAAATACTGAAAAAATACCCAGATGGCTAAACACAATATGTTCTGATATTATATTATAATTATAAACATATTAATATTTACTTTTAGCACAAATTAATATTAATATTATTACGTCAGATCGACTTATTATATAATCTATATAAACCTTGTAAACTCAATTTTGTCACGTTCCATGGTTTTAAATTCAATAGTTATAATCACCCGTATGTGTATATTCTGTAATATATACGTAAAATAATAGTATTATATTATTTTAATTAATAATGCATTCACTTTAAATTCGTTGATTACGTATTATATTCAACAAGCAAAAAAGTCTACGAAAATTAGAGAATATATTATATTTCAAGTATATTTTATTGAGGCATTACATTCAAAATAAATTTACCTTTAGTATAAATTACTCAATTTATAAATTAAATTTGATAAAAATAAATTGAAATATCAATATATTTATAATTATAGTTTTCCACATCGTTAAATAAAAGTTGTAAAGTTTTCTTTTTAAGTTAAATTTTATATTATAATTTTAAACTACTATACTGATATATTGAAAACATTATATGATCAAGATTAATTTTAAAATATTGTTAAAAATGTTATGGATCATGAAAATAACTCGTATAATGTAATTAATAAAACCTTGGTTGTACAGTTCTAGTAATATTTAAGTTAGGGAATTATTACCTGCAATTTCAAGAAATGGAGTAGGCACTGTGAACACTAACCTCTTATATATAACGCTTTTATTAATATTTTAATCTAAAAGAAAAAAAATATATGATTCTAGTTCAGGTTTGGCCGGATCTCTTAAGACCATATTCTAAATATTATCGTGTATCTGCATGTGCTGATAGGTAGTATTCAATATAGCAGATGAGTATGTAATTTAATGGTGTCATTTTTACCTCCAAACATATAATTATTTTAAAATATCAATATACCGACTATACTAATTATTAATAATTTTTAATTAAATTAAATAATAATGGTATTTACTTGACGCATTAATAAAAATATCATTGTTTATTTTTATGTTTTGTCTCAATCATATGTAGTTACAACTTCGAGAATATACATTTGCCACGACTGAGTAATTAAACATGCCTCTTGAAAATGCCGATTTAGAGGTCTCTCAAAGTGAAATTTATGCTATCAATGATGTTGACCGGGCAGTTGAAAATTATATAATACAAGCTAAGAAGGAACGCAATTTAAAAGTACGCGATAAGATTTTTGACCGAATTATAAATCTTTACTCAATGGCGGACAAAATACACATGAATCACATGGTAAAATAACAATGTATATAAATGTTTACAAAACGCACCTTAATAATTTAATTTTTTTTTCAGAAACATTTACTAGGCAGGGCCTATATATGCTTATTGGAAAATAACACTTTGGCAGTTACTAATCGAAAATTCACTTCAGTAATTAAACATTCATTAAATCACATACCACCTGTACTGTCCAGTGATCTCAACGAGGCTGCTTGTAGACGTTATATAACACAGAATAAAAAATTGTTGCGTTCCAAAGTTCGCAAAAATGTGGACTCTGTAAATATTCGATCTCAAATGGCACACTGTTATTTAAAACTAGGAAAATTAAAACAAGCACGATTAGAATTTGAACTAGTTTTAAAATCAAATTCAAAACATGTGGATGCATTAGTTGGTCTCGCAATCACGAAGTTAACCGATAACGAATCGTTACCATTTGCTATTGATCTATGTATACAATTTTCAAAAGAATGTAGCATTCATTCGGTTAAAGCGGAAACACTGAATGAGATTGCATTCAATTATTTTAATAAAAAAAATTATGCTACATCCAAACGACTTGCTGAATTTGTAATACAGAAATCAAGTGATTTTTATCAAATAACTAAAAGTTATAATCTATTGGGTAGAATCGCCGAAAGCGAGGTAATGTAATTTGTTATTTTTATGACTTCTCCGAACAATAATATGATTTTAACACATTCTATATTTTAGGGTTATGTTGAAGAAGCATTTGATTACTTTAATCGAGCAGTTTTTTTCGCACCGCGTAATGTAATATATCCATATTACGGACTTGGGAAAATGTGTTTACTAAAATCTGACAAAGAGAGAGTAATATTTATAATGATATCAATGCAGTCTGAATCGAAGTATATTTGTGTAATTCTATATATTTTAGGCTCAAGAGTGCTTCGAACAGATTTTTCAAATGAATCCGAGTTGTGTGAAAATCAAAAAAATCCTTAGCGTACTGTATGCTTCTTCAGCAAATCGTTATAAAAGATCACTTGCTGAAAAATATTTAAAAGAAGTACGTAATTTAACTTTTTTTTTTAAAAACTATTTATAATTTTTGACTTATTTTCATTAACTTAGGTAATAAATGAGTTTCCTGACGATTTAGAAGCTTGGGTACAATTAGGTTTAATAGCTTTAAATAAAAGTTTAGAAACGTTAACTCCGATTTATGATAAAATTATGAGTTTAATACGTGTCGTTGAAGAAACCAAACTTTCAATTGAAATTCGTCTTGCCCTCGCTGTTCTACACGATAAGTATGATTAGTGTTAAAACATAATTTAACAAATACCTAACATTTTTACTTTTGTTTCATTTAAAGGGTTGGAAAATATGATGAATGTTTTTCTACATTAGAATTGTGTATAAAAATGGCAAAGGAAAAATATTCTAATTGCTCAAATGAATATTTTGTGAAAATAACTTCTGTGGCTCACTTTTATTTAGTCAAATCTTATGATAATCTTGATAACTTTCGAGATATGTACAAAGAATTAATCAGCATACAGGATTCGATGTATATTAAGAATATTTACATAGAATACTATTTTATTTAATAATACTTCTATAATGTTGTATCGTATGTTACAGGTATATATCTAGGATATTTGGCCCTAAGTTGTAACGAGATGAGCAATGCTAAAAAATATGTTGATTGGGCATTATTTATTGATTCGAATAATGCTGAAGCCAAGTCATTACTTAATTTGTGTTCTGGCCATAAAAATAACTCTTATAAGTATGTACTAAAAGATATGTTTTAAAGCTACTTGTATATTATCCCAACAATAATATATATTCTGTATATATGTTTCTTTTAACTTTGAAGGAAACATCATCTTTGGGCCTAGATGTTTCAAATTAATTAATAGACCAGAGATATTAAAAAATATTTATATAATAATATCATTGTAATATTTTTGAAAATTTTGAATTCCGATTCAAAGATTATCTAAGGAACCGAAAGAATAGGCGAGTTAATATATATATTATATAATTTAGTAGTCATTAGTTTAAATTTTAACTTGAATACATAGAAAGTACTTATTACATTTATTTCAATTTGCATGTAAAATAATTTCTTCATATAGTTGATATTGCACTAGATTCATACAATTGTTTTTCTCGAACAATTGTCGGTATTTGTTGGGAAAAATAAAAAATTAATATTGTATAGTTATTTATAAATGTATTGTTTTTGGACTTATAAAAATATTAATGTTAAACTGAACTATTATGTTATTAAAATATAACTTAGAGGATTTCTGTTCTAAAATAAAATGTATAAATTACAAATTATATATATATCACAATAAAATATTAAACATTACATAAATTAATAAGACAAAATCATTATTACTATTATTATTATAGATATAATTATAATTATTATATTACATTTATATAAGTATTAAGCATATTTACAAATATGATCAAATAAATATACTTATGCATTTTACTAAAACAAATATTATTTGTTAGAACTGTGTGTTTTATGATATTAGGTATTAAGAAATAAAATTTGTAAGAAAAATAATTAATACCCATGTAATTGTTTTTACTATTTTTTATAGTTCCTAATTATTTTTAAGTTTCACACAATACACATTCAGGTATATATTATCAGTGTTTAAAATGACCATTTATCCACTTGAACCGTAACATATACCTACTCAAAAACTTCAGTCAATCATTAAATATTAGAAATTATATTCCATGTAAAATATAAATTAAAAATAATTCATAATAAGATTACGAATCGATTAGTTGGATTTTCTGTTTTTTTTATTAGAAATAGTAAGATGCACAATAATATTTTAATATAACTAATTATCTTTAATGAGAAAACTATATCCGTTATCTCCATAGGCGGACATTTGGTTGAATTTGGGGGGGAGCTATAATAATTCAATGTAAAATAACCCGCAGAAACTTCGCCCCCACAACCCCTTCCCGTACACAAGTAAAACTTATTACTATTAAAAATATAGATATGTTTAAATTGTATAAAAACACTAAATAACGTATATTTAAAAATAATTAATATTTTATTTTAACCCCTAACTTTGTAAGCATAAAAATATTAGAATGAAAATTTTAAAGTAGATATATTTAAACTAATTTAAGGTCGCTAAATTCAAAAATTTCGTAAAAAAAATTGTAGATATGAAAGTTCTAAGTTATGAATTGTACCTTAAAAGATACATTGCCATAAACCGATATAGTAGTTCCTGTATCTTTAAGGATACTTTGTCGAATAAATCAATATTTCAATTTGATTTTTCTAATTTAATTATTCTAAATTTAAATATATAGTTTTTTTCATCTTGATCAGTACTAGAAATAATTATTTCTTACTGAATTATTTTAAATATATTAAAAATATTTTCATAAATTCTATTAATGATTAATATGGTTGGTTGAGAACACTATAGGAACTATTTATTGTGTTTAAAAGTTATTCATTTCATCCTTTCGGTTTCGACTTAATATTAAAAATAATTTTGTAAAATGAAAACAATATATAAATTTAAAATTCAAATTCAAATTTTCCATGTCTTCTGGAAATTTGATATATAGTAATAAGTAGTAATAATACAATTTAAAAAATATTTTAAAAATAACAAAATTAATCAAAATAAATTAACAGAAAATGATAAACATAATGAAAAACAAAATAATATTATATACTAACGTATTTAACTTATTTTTGTTTATGAAATATTTTAAAACAATTTCGTGTTGATGTGATGCATAGTCTCAAATCACACTTGTCACATGAAAATGTTGTTTGGCCAGTCTTGCACATCCTGCATCTTCCTTTTACTTCGACAATAGGCATATGGTCATAACGGTCAAGTCAAATATCATATATTGATCGTGGTATTTTTTCTTTTTAATCTTTATAATTTCTGATATACACATTTCTTTAGATTTTCTCCCAACTTTCGGCTTATTTTTAGAAGACAAGGCAATCGCAATATTTATTCTGAATTCTTTTTAAATTCTTAAATTCTTTCACAGTCCTTACGATATTGGAGCCTAGCATTATTAACACACACGTCCAACAATTGTGAAAAAATATTTAAGTACCACTTATGTGTTTCATATTCGTGCGATAAAGTGCAATAAACATATCAGTTAGGTCAACACCACCCTTATGTGAATTATTATGTTTGGCAATTTGAGGCATAGACACATCTACTCTAGACTTCGTAGTTTTATTATAACTTCTTGTAGTTGACAATGGATGCACTCCAACATAACTGCTCGTTAAACAAACAGATTTATTGTCAAACCATTTGACAACTATGACTTTTTTCTATCACATTTTGCAGAGTAGCTTCTTCTATCTTTTTTTTTTTAAATTTTTTTTCGTCTAATAGTAGGCAATTTCTCAGGCGGTTTTGCTGTACTGTACCTAGACTAAGAATACCATACTTTTTTCTCAAGTGATAAATAAGTTCCGGTGATGTGAAAAAGTTGTCATAGTATATAACTGAAAGAGGTTTTTTTGGTTTCGTGGAAGCTAAAGCTAAAATTACCTTTCCGCCTAAACCAAAATATTTGTTTTCATATTCAGTGAATTGAATATCAGTAAATGTGCTTTCTCCGCCATATGGCAATATATCAAATACTTGACCATTAATTCCAGCTCTTATAAAAAACTTAAAGCCCCATTTTTTGGGCTTTGACTTAATATATTGCCTACGATAACCAGCTTTAGTTCCCTTGTAGGGAATCATCATTACAACAATTAACTAACAGGTTGCTTCTTCTAGATTTAAACAATTATGACGTATTTTATTAAGAAATGGCCGGATTTTATAAAATTTATCATTGGGGTCATACTCATCATTGTTTTTAAAATGAAGAGAACGCAATATTTTTGATACTTTTTAAGAAGCATAATATCTTGTACTTTAGGAACTCCCATTAAATTTGACCAATAGTCTGTGTAGGCCGGAAGTTTACTTACACCCATCCTTAACTGAACTGCGATAAAATCAACTAGCTCTGCAGAATTATATGCACATATATTAATAGATATTCTGAATTTTTGAAAAGAATAAATATTACTTTCTTGTACGATCAAATCAAAAATATCGTCAGAAAAAATATCTAGCACGAAAATAATTTTTTCTTCAGTTATATTTTCATCAATAATGTCAAAAAATTCTCTAGTAAGCAGGACGTATTTGCACATAGTATTTGCATATTTGTTGAGAAAAAGCATATTGAAATTCTGGTTCAATACAAATTCGATCCATAGTACGCAGATTTAAAAATAAAATACAAAAGAAAATACATACATTTTTTATGCATAATTTTGCATATTCTGTAATTTTTTGAAAGAGTTCACATATTTTAGGTTTAAAAAACTATAAATGTATATTTCATAGATTTAATGAGACAATTTATTTTTAACAAAATTATAGAAAAAAATATTAGTTGTTATATATTAAATTAAAAAGTATTAGATATATGACAATCAAAATTCTACATATCATATAACGTAAAGAAATTAATTAATTCATCAATGGTTGTTTTAGTATTGCTTCCAACTAAAAAATGACATTATAATCTCTATTGTATTTAAAAATTGCTGTGTTCGCCCACGAATTAATTTTTATTGAAATTTGGCAAGTCATTATTATTGTACCATAATATAAAGTGGTATTTTTCAGTATTTATACAATTGTACTCAAGATAATTAAAGTTTGATGAAGATTGTATAGCAGGATAACAATGCAATATATAAGTGTGCAGTGTTTATTTATATTTTTTTAATTTTATTATTTTTCCCTCAAATTATATAAATTGTATTTTATTCAGTAAATTACATATTTTTCAATATTTTACTGCTTATTGTACTACATATTATGATGTTTTTTAACGCATATGAATACACATATTTGAGTACTTTTTAGCACATAAAGTTCCGAGTCTCGGTTGTAATAGTATACTGATTATACTTATAGAGATAACATTTTCAATAACAAGGTAAATTGTTTGAGCGTATAGTTATTATTTGTTTGTCGTCGTTCGTTGAATGAATTTAGTACATTTTTCTTCAATATCATGGATACAGTAGTGGAAGGTATGTATATATATTTTTTAAATTTTTTTTATGAAGTTTCGCATGTACAATTTAATTAATATATATAGAAATATTTAAACAAAAATATATTTTTTTAAAACTATTAAGGATATGGAAAAAAAAGTAGTGGATAGTAGAGGTTTGAACTTAGTGTTTTCTATTAGCTTAAATTTTTCTCTAAACGATACTATATAATTATATTCTGACAAGTTGCGGCACAATACATAGCACCTATTATATTTAAAAAATATTATATATTCAAATTCGTCAAAAATTATATTTTGTAATAAAATAAAATGATAAATAAATTAACTTCAATTCAAACATAATAATATGTTTATTATATTATTACATATTTTTAAATGTTTTCGATAATACTATATTACTCAAAAATTGAAACATTTTTGAAATGTAGTGAAGCAAATCAATAAATATTTCTTATTAGATTAAGTATCATATAGCAAATTTTCCATATGTCTGTGAAAAAATTGGTAATTAACAAGCTATAATGGCTGACGAGTTTGAAATATCATTAAAATATAGGATAAAAAGTTTTGTTACCACCCTTCATAAAAAGTGGACTGGTGCAGGTAGGAGTCTACCAAGAAATCAAATAAAGAAATAATTGGCTAGAATTAAGTTTTAATATATTTGGAGAAATTGAAAACATACTATAACTATCAACTAGTTCTGGCAGGAGTCGTCGAAAAAAACTATTTGCTGAAAGTTTCGAACGCTCTAAAGATAGAAAAATTAAACATTTAGCATCTGG